ATGCATCGGGCAAACTCGCCAACTATACTGAGCGCCGTTCATGAACCCCATTGTTGGCAACCCGTAGGAATGTTACTCTACGCAACGCGAATTGTACGTGACTACGGCAGGAACATCCTAATTTACGCTTACCTCGGGTGCTTACTCTTTCTAACGGCTTATCTCTCCGGAGCTCATCCCCTTTCCCTTCGGAGTAAACATACCAAATGAGGCTGTGTAAAACAATCTGTTCTATTTAAAGGTTGGAGTAGCCTGCGAATATCTCGGCTCGAAAGTGCGTGACAATGACTTTATGGCCTCACAAAGTGAGCTAATGACGGCTAATGTGAGCTAATGGACGATATGTACCTCGCGCACACCCCATGACACGCAACGTGGATTACGACGTAGCGGCTAATTCGAATAGCGCGTGTTAATAAAGCCATAACGCAAGCAAGGTTCAAACAACTCGTCCAACACGTCCTCCCTAATTTCAAGGGGAAGAGAGGGGGTCTTATTCACCGGCTTCATGGTGGTCTGCTTTGCTTTTTTTTCTTCATTCAAGCTGGCATTCACACTTTCAATATCGACCTCTTTTACCCCAGAAATTTGTTATGAGGTGTTTACCTCATGCCAGTGCCAGAGTTTCCTACCCGTCCATGCTCAGGATTCGGTACAGCATCTTTCTCTACTCCATTCGAGGCTGATTTAGCTGGTCCTTATCGAAAAGCAAACTAAAATGAAGGTGTTGTTGGAGCTATTTCCTTAACGGCGTTATTTAGGCCCTCATCTTGATCTTTATCTTAGCACCGCACAGTGTCCCCCCCTAACCCGCACTCCCGACGTCATTTTAATCCTGCGCCACAGTGAGTGGAATTTCAAGGCTGATTAATGAGTTCTAGACCTTGATATGATCGCAAAGAGCTTGTTCATCCGTAGGATGACACGACATTTCAAGGGTTCTCGTGACCCACATTGTGACTGGGATATTCCGAGCATCGTGAGCTTTTTATTTCTGCATTTTTTTTTGAAGTTGATAATGTTCAGAAGATGCGATTACTGTTGTTAATTGGTGTTGTCACGCTGTGTAAATCAGAAGATCTCGTCGCCATGGGATGTGATCGTGACCCCACGTTGCGGTTTTGCAAAACTCACGCCGCAAAGACCACCGAGCGAGGAGGCTCTGAGATTACAGAAAAAGATAAGGTAACTGTTACTTTTGCTTCAGAAGAGCCACAACTATTGATGCTAAGAATGCATTAAAAATTAGACTCAACTGCTTCGTTCAAGAAATTCAATTACAAATTTTAGGTGCATTTTATGCGAACTCGTCATCTAATAATGTGTCTTCATAACCCATTTAAGTATAGCAGCTCGATATTTATACTTTATTCCTACAAGCGAGAAATTTTAACGACGAAGGGCAACCCATGAAGTGACAGTAGCGCGCTCTGCTCTGCAGTTCACTGTTAACAACCAGAAGAATCCGATACAGCGAGGGTATTAGCCAGAAGTTGGCGTCAGCGGTGCTAGCGTAAAGGTCTCTGCAAAAGAACTTAAAAGGGCGCACCATTCGCTGCACGGCATCCATGGATCCCGAACTCACACACACTAGAGGGTGCACACCGTGAGCCTTTCACCATTAAGATGCAAATTTTCTTCTTCCACGATTTTATCCCACCTTCGTACTTATCTGTGGGAACTCGTCCTTTAAACGCCCGAGCATTCTTTCCATATTTCTGGTGTACCTGGAACAGTCATTTTATTTTTTATTTAGGTTTGTAGTCATTGCTGTCCCTACATACGTTTGACCCCTACGCATTCCGCCGTAAAGTTTAGGAATTCTAAATGAGGCCGGCATTCGGAAGATTAGAAATGGTTGTTGGAGTTGGCGATCGCATTCGTGGTTGGGCAAAAAGTTGTCCGAGGTTAGTAGTTAGAGTTTGACCGGAGTTTGTTAGAGAGGATTGTTCATGAGCTTTTTTTTATACGAGTTGCATGAAATATTTACGAAAAACGGTGGGAGTGAGAATTGGGCAATATTGGTGGATTTGAAGTGGCGCTTCCTATTCAGGTACCAATTTTACCCCTTCCCCCTCCACTCCCCGTCGACGGCGGCCTTTCGGAGCGTAAATGCGAAATGGGCGAGCTGGTAAGTGGAATAATATGGGGACAACTTTCCAAAGATTTGTTGGTGGTGGTAGGGGTCGCAAAATTCAAGAAATTACGCAACGTGACAGATGCCCCTCCCTGACTTCTGCTGGGTTTGGAGTGGGTGAGTCATTTAATCGATACGCTATCGATGGTGCAGTCGAGTCGCTCTAACGACCCTCTCGAGTTCTCGGTGGAGTCGTGGTGGGATCTTATTCGCAGTAACAGCACTGTGCACCGCTGATGAGACATGACGATGATTTACTTACGAACACGTTAAAAATCCTTCGTGTGGGCTTATGCGGGTGTGTGAATGTTTTGAGACATTTTTTGGTTCCTACTGAACCAGAAGCCGCTTCGTATTCGGGTTGTTGAAAGTATAACCAAAAAGCAAAATTTGCGCCAAATATGAAAATACATTGAAGATTGCCAGGTTGATTTAGAGACGGAGCAAGACTTTTCAGATAGCCTGCGCAGAGCTCCGACATGAATACGTCAAAGTTTGTGCCCTGTCTGGTCAGCACAAAATTGACGAAAAGGAAGACGAATTCTGCCAAGCGTTTGAGAATATCTGCTTCCGCATTCCAAAAGATGAACCTGACCAATCGACTGTACCGTGAGTTTTGCTGAATAACTAAAGGTACAGCTTCTATTTGCAACAAGTGTAGAACATGGCTCCGAAAATAACGGGAGGATTAAGCGGTAAATGTGGACTGTCTTCTAACTATACGCCATTGTAGCTTTTGGTGTTGAAGCATCACTAATTGGGATGAGTGACGTCGGGCTTAACACGTTGACGACAGTCCGGTTATGCGTTCCACTTTGTACACCTCGTGGGACACTGTGACGCGGTAACGCGTCACGGAAGTCGTGGCCGAGATACTTCCGGGCTTCCTCATCCCTATCGAGACGTTTTTGCCCAGTCAAGCTTTCATGTATGTAGATTGAAGGTAGAAAGGGGCGGAGTTAGGGTATCTTATATGGGGCGATCGTATTGGCAGCTGAATGCCCTCGATGAGCGGCTCATTATGCAACTTCGCGTGAAATCTACTGCTTCTGTGAGCATAACTGGCTTCTATTAAAACTTGCTCAGAAAATGCTTGTTCGTTTTCTATGTGTCTTAGTCGCTCTACAGGTCAACACTCACAGGTTGCTCCCTCAATTAGTCATAGTTTATATTTATAGTATTCGTAACAGGTGACCGCCAGGATCTCATTAACCATACGGCGCACGACTATTTCTTTTGTTTTTGGAATGTTTCTAGCAATCTTAATATACCCATATATACTCTCAGCAATGTGGAATAACATATCTTCCCAGGACCTGGACGGCTGGATTTTTGACAAACCTACAATAAATTTTACATACATTTTGTCTTAATTTACATAAGTTTACTATTTGATGGGTGGCTTACCCATGGTTCGCACGTCCCGAGACCCCTTCCCTAAATATAGCCACATCCTTGCTCGGGGTTGTTGTTTCGCATTTTTCGATAATGTCACCTACAGCTTCCATTCATTCTTTGCACCCTAGTTTTAGAGCGGAAAGGCGGGTTACGAACTTGTCGTCAACGGAAATCTCTTTTTTGGATGATGAGACTCCGACACCTACTTTAGCCCCGTCTTACCCCTGCTGTTCACATAAGCCTACATAAACCCTACCCTGGGTGGCGGCGTGCGCCACATGGTGGCGCACGCGAAAAATACACTGGCCGTCCGTTATGGGTTAAAGAACCCAAGTAGGGCGAAACTAATCAATATCCGGCTCAAAAATGAAAACGGAAACCGCCAATTAGAAAAAAATTAAAGAATCCTAGAAAATACTAGATCGAAGACCTTCTTCTTTGATTATGAGCCGTCAAGGAAAGAACAATCACCAAGCAAAATAATACTTACAGGACAGCTTTAATGAGGGAGCTGAAACCGATTGACGAGAAATCGGACGAGAACGATGAAGGATCAGCAACAACCACAAGAGAGTGAGTATCTCCAGTAATTTGGTGTATATAAAAAGGCATACTAATAATTATCTGGAGGAAGATGGTATCATCACAATAGATAAAAAAAATCTCTCTGGAGCCATGGATAAAGAGGGCCTTGGTCATGAAACTGTACATTTGGAACGATTTCAGGCCTATAAAGAAAAAGAAGAAACGAATCGACTTCACAAAGTTCTGCAAGGAATTCAAGAATCGTTACTTGTTTGTATGCCCAGACCCGTTTCGATTTGGTCAAAAGGTAAATTTCACAGTAAGATGAGCAAAAAGGTTGCAATTGCCGAGGAATACTACGGCATTGGAAAGTAGCCGTCATTTCCTTAAATGAAGATTAAGGTCAACTGTTACAGTATCTGAGTGTTTCAGGCGGTGGTATTCTGTCCAATTTACTCGGAACGATGTCATGTGCCACTGCCCGATCGACCTGTAGTACCTACACGAAAACCGCCTGCTGGACGTAAAACCAATTCAGTTGATCGAATCTGTCGAAGTTACAGGTGAGTATTAAGTAACAGAAGACAGGTAAATATTCTACTCCTAATTCATATAATCTGCAGAAAAGTTGAAATAAGGGATGATTAGGAGAAGAATGCCTCATTTTGGTAGTACCTCATTGTGTAGGTTTGTGTGTCAAGAAATGTCAGAAATCGTTGCGGGGCGTCGAACAGCGTTGCGCGTACGTATTCTATCCGAACCCCTCTTTATCATGTAAAAAAAAGTTCATTACGGAGAAAGATGTTGAGAAGAGCAGAAGCTACCGAGAGACGGAGAAGCCTACACACAACTGACAAAAAACTGACCTTGCTCCAGTTGACTGGCTTACTTATGAGGGCAAACTTAACCCGGTATTCGCGTTCTGTCTGATTCATATGTCTTTTTCAAAAGTTTCGATTTCTCAGCACGGCTTGGTGAGGTTGGATACCAACCTCATGACACGGGTTCGGGGTCAGAATGATCGGCTCTAATAATAAGTCTTAATCGGCTACGTTGCTTGGCTCACACATATTTGATAAGCAAGGCCACTTAAAGGCAAAGTTCGGGCTCAGACCCACCTAAGAAGCCCTTACCATGGCTAGAAGTGCTGGGTACGCAAGTGCAAAGGTAGCGCCACCTTTCTACATCGAAACGCGTCACTAGGACCCTAGGCGCCATGGACTTCTAACAGACTCCACCAAACTTAACATGGTCCGCCCACCGTTCGATATCTTGTCTGCGTCGCTGCGTTGATCTGCTATGCTCTCTCTTCTCGGACTTCTCTACCGCTCTCCGCGCTCACATTATCTCTCATCTCCCTGCCTGTCTTTTGAACTTCTCCACGTAGAGCAAAATGCTCGTATTTCCTGTGTATTTCAGGATTTTCTTTCCTTTTTTCTCCACTGGCGGTCCACCTCCATCCCTACTTTCACATTTGAGTGGAATCACCCCATCAATTTAATCCTGATTCTTGCCTTTAAACACCACTACCATTCTTCATGGAAATCGAATGTGCGGCGCAGCTTACAGCCTTATCATTCAGCGGTTCATTCTTTTATTCATCCTTTTATTTGACGTAGCAGGAGAATCTTATGGAGTCCTAATATAATCACCTTGGTGAGTCTGTATTCATAATGTGTCAATGAGAACTTCAGGGGATTCGCGGAGACGTACTGCAACAACCCGTTCACCCTCAGTCAACCGCAATATCGTGAAGGATGCGAGAAATACTGGCGATTCTGCACGCGACGAAATGGATGAAAACATGATCGTTGGAGAAACTGTAAATATATGTACGATATAAAACGTTTAAAAAGTACGATTTGTTGGTTCCTCTACAGTTTCGACTTACGGGAAAGGCAACAGCGAAGATGGGAAACCAACTTGATTGTGTAGCTGTTCAATCAACACGCCACTTAAAGGCATGCCCCAGGATCGCACTGGTGTGGCTCTTGCACACGAATGTGAATGTATCGGTGCCAAGTGGGCCGGCAGTGAAGAAAAAAGGAAAAGAATCCGTCGAAAACGCTCAGGTTGAGGGCTCACTCACCTTCCTAATTGGCTGTGCTAAAGGAACGAGAGACTAAGCGCGAAGAGGAGAGTATGGGGCGAGAGAGCGCATCAGATGAGAGAGCACCAGACAACGGCCTGATAAGAGAGCTCGTTCGCTGCAGCTCGAGCAGCTTACTTTGCAAGCCCAAAGCGTTCTTGTCGGTCGAATTCCGTGCACGTGAACGCCACATTTGTGATTTGTCCCCTAGGGTTCTATACTTCTGACCGAAGAGAAGAGTTCACAAAACCTCTGCCTGGGTTGTGCCTTTAAATTTCGTACTATCCAAGCAGCATTTATGAAAGATTTGTAACAATACTTGAAAATTTTGAATTGTTTTCGTAAAGATACGCCCATTGAGGGGCGAAATTGTTTAGTGGCAAGAGGCGCTGCTTACCACACGCATGGTCCGGTGATGGGATCCACGATCTTATTCCTTTTGAGCCAATCCAGCCCTGGTCCCGCAAATAGGGGCCAAATCACATACAAAATGTTACCTCGAGACGGAGTGGAAGTAGAATGCGTGGCGCATCTCAAAAGCAGAACTGACAAACGCCGAAAGCTCTATCTTTTAGCCCCTACACGTCAATCGAAACATATTCCATGATCGTTCAGTGTCCACATTACTGTTCCTGTTGCCGTTTATTTCTCGAAGCCCGTCTCCTAGAACAAATGTGGCAATTTCAACGCTTTCGGCTGTTTAGTTGGCCTTCTTACACTGGCGATCTTTTTCGTTCCCCTTCACCCATTTTCAAGCGTGACCCATTTTGTGATCGCGAAATGTGCCTTAAAGGCAGCGGTTACGATAGCATATGCACCACACGAAGCAGTTACTTGGCTGCCAGGGAAGCGAGGTGTAGCGCTTTCACGACGAAAGGTGCGCTGGTTGCTGAGCAGGACTTCGAAAGCACTCCGCCCCCAAAAGCGATCCACTAGTTTACTTGGTGATTTGGACGAGCTGCGTTGCCAGCAGCGGCACAACTGGGGCAACTCGATTGGAGCGTGGTTTGGCATGCGATGAACTCGTTCATACGTCCGCGTTCTGAGCTGTTACCTGTTCATGAGTGAAAACGAACGGCCAAAAAAGGGTCCCGTTTTGCGTTTTCTTGACGGATTTCTCCGCTTTTTTCGCCACTGGCGTACCATTGAGCACCACCACGTCTCCTCTAAACCTTCTCAAAACTATCGTGATCGCTGCCTTTAAGCTTGAATTTTCGACAACAGGAATTGCATAGCTACCGTTCATATCAACATCTAGATCAAGTTGATTAGCCACACACCACTGAGTGCCAGTAGTCCTAGTCATTTATCACAGAACAGAGTCGGGCCTGCAGCTGCAGTTCACCATATTCCAATGAATCTCTAATCATGCAATGGACCTGTTGGTACAAAGAGCGATACTGCTTTTTACAAAATTCCAAGAAGAAGGCACACGCATTTCCCTGCGCCTTCATCAATAATTATGAATCGAAGGCTTCTGTCGATAGGTGCTTCAGATTTGTTACCTGTTGTCAGAAATAAAGCGTGTGCATCCTGCTTGACGCTTCTTCCTCGCACTTTGGGACTACTTGTGACGATGAGTTATGCGACCCGTGGCGAACACCATCAACTACCGTTAGAAATTTTTTACCCACAAATTGCGAAACCTGTCACCAAAAATCATTTTTGAGGAGGATCTCACGATTGATCGATTGCAAGTGATTGGATTGGAAGTGAAGAAGATTGCAAGTGAAGTAGTAAGAGGCCAATAATGTAAGGATGAAAAAACCCAAAGAAAACGGTCTAAAACCCTGTGAAATAAGATCCCCATTCTACTCTGTTGATTTTCGTGCTGCACTTTGCATTTCTGAGATTTTTACAGAAGCGCAGGCAGCTAATAAGATGTGAACTGCGTGTTTATGGTATAACCAATTATTGTTGAGGTGATTTTTTTTCTCCAGCTGTCACTGTGTCTCAATAATCATTACCATAAACTCACAATTTGCTACCATTCCTAACGGCCTATGCTGTGTGCAAAGCAATTATAAAAGTATTGTAGTAGTTGTCGCGATAGAAATAGTTCTAGTAAAATC